AATGCTTAAATTTGCCAACACATCCTGCATCGTTTCACGTCCCAGTTCTTAATAACTTGCAACTTCTGTGCTTTTAGGAAGAGGCCAAATTTCATTGCTGATGCATACGGAAGGCATCAGGTGAATGGCCCCGCAGTTCGTAGTACCTATCAGGACAGTAACATCTGCGTATTTAAACAGAGTAAGATCTCTAACTAGATATCATGAAGTGTTCTGACCTTTTATAATGAGACTCTCGTCTTTCCTAAGGGCTGCATTATTTCTGAGAATAAAGTCTAAAGTAATTTAGGGTAACAAGAGCGCACAACCTGGCGAACTTCATAGTCAATGGGAAACCACTGAGAGAGCTGTCCGCCAACTTTCACTGCAGACATGTTTCCCCCATGTATCGCTTCTAAAATAGAAACGATATGCTCAGGAATTCCATTACATTTCATGAATTTTTAGATCGACGTATTGATTCAGATTAAAACTGAGGTGCTGTTACGAATATCGTTCCTGTTCATTGCAGTGTATGAGGACACCCTGTTTCACAGTTACATTTAGATAGCGCGAATAGCACCTGTGGAGCTACCCGTGTGTACTGTATTTCATAATGGCTTGTGTCGGTCATGAGAATATTTCATGCAGGCAAATGGTGCATTGGAATATATTTCGTTTAGTACTAACGGCTGAATGGTATGAATGAGCCACTGGGTCGCCATCTGTTGAGCACCAACAGCGCGGTTGGACGTTGAGTATGATCGGGGAACAGTGAAAAGGGTCAATCGGGAATTATTGATACAAACTTCTGAGGGTCAATAATTTGGATGCTTAATGATACATTTCTAGCGAATCTGCGGGTATTGCCGACTGTTTGCTGTTATCGGAATAAAGCTCTACCTTAAGAGTGGTGGGTCGCTACCATAATAAATCTTCGAGGCGCTGAGGAATTGGACTTCATTGCGGGAGACCCGCCGATGAGTTACTACCGTATGATTATGATCATTCATATTGTTTCTGACTTCATTGCCATGCGTAGACCCTCTTGT